TTTTTTTTCTTCTTTTTTTTTGTACATACTGTAAGGTTGGTTTGTAAATTATTCTACAGAGGCAAAAAGGGAAAATACACTTGCCCTTCCCCAGCTGACCCAGCCAGGGGAAGGAGGAGGGGTGGGGGTCTCCCAGAGAGAGAGTCCCCATTCCCACTGTATTATACAAACTGTACCATAGACCCCGCAAGGGTGGGTTCAGTGCTGCCGTTTGATGGGAAGTCGTGTCATCTTGGGGGGTGAGGGCTGAGCAGAGCCTGCCCCTTGCCCTGTCCCTGGGTGTGACTGGTGAGATGGAACCCCACCCCCAGTCAGGGCTCCTCTCCCCAGCGGGGGGCGCAGGGCCCCCTCAGCCGCTCTTGTGTTGTCCCCTCTGACGATCAATCAGTCGGTCCGTTGATCGATAATCAATCCTTCGATCTCGTCTCCAATTAAACCGAGGATTTCACTGATCTTCCTGGCTGATGTGACTTCCTTTCCCACCCTGGTTTTGGGAGGCACGCCTCTCCTCACCGGCTGCCTGGGACGCGGATAAGGGGAGAGAGAGGCTCCATCCCTGACCCTCCCCAAGCGCTTAGGACCTGGATGGGGGTCCAGCAAGTGTGGCAGGAGGCAGCCCCCTGGCCTGGGCCAGGTGCTGGCTGGCTCGAGGACTTCAGGTTGTAAAGTGGAGGTTCAGACCAGTCTTTGGAGGCTAGGCGACCCAGGTAAACCCCACTTCTTGTACACAGCATATCTGACACAACTCTGGGTACTTCTGGAATCTCACAGTCATTCCTAGAAACCTCGGGGGGGCGGGGCTGATTGGTAGCGCGTCCATCATCGGGCTGCCAGGCCATGATAAAAGGTCTCTGGTCAAATTCTGCCGTGCAGATGTTAAACCTGATAAACAGCCACAAGAGACTTTACTTACCCTGTAAGTTCTATGAATTCCCAGCATCCTGGCCATTTTGGAATTGCAACCTTCACCTTGCATTAAAACAAAATCCAAAACAAACCTGAATATCTTTTTTTTTTTTAAGATTTTATTTATATACAGATTTTATATTTTTATGTAATCTCTACCTCCATAGTAGGGCTCGAACTCACCACCCTGGGATCAAGAGTCACATCTCTAAGACCAACTAAACCACCTAAATGCCCCTAAAGATTTTAAAGTAACCTCTACACACAGTGTGGGGCTTGAACTCACAACCCTGACATCAAGAGCCACAGGTTCTACTGACTAAGCCAGGCAGGTGCCCCCAAACCTGAATATCTTCAAGTCAGGGCTCTGTGTTGCTTGGAGCCTGTAAGCCTTATGGTCAGTATCAGGCAAGCCGAATCCTCCAAATTCACACAAGACTGGCCCGGGCTTTAAGCTACTTTGCTAAAGTGTTCATTCAAGGTTGGGGTGTGAGTGACTCAGATAGTTTAACCAATCCACATATTTGAATACTGTTAATTCCACTCAAGGGATCCCATTTTCCAACCTTTATCAGGCTAATTAACAAACCCTTGATTTCACCAAGGTTTCTGACATTCATTATGCTAATGAGCAAAAAACTTCCCAAGTGGTTAAAGATATGGATAGCAGAAGTGTTTGTGATTCAAGCTTTTGGTTTAGAATACTGGCTGCCTCTGGGGTGTAATGAATTAAGATACACATACACACTCAGTGCTTAAGTGCTTAAACCACAGGGGGATCAGTAGCTGTATATATGCACAGTTCCTTGGATCTAAGGAAAGGTTGACCTGCTTACTTTGTTATTCAGCTCTAGTTATGGGAGTAGTTTGGATCCCAGCCGTGGCTGGGTGACGTTGGGCATGATCTCTTTGACCTTCAGTTGGCTCATCTATAAAATGATCACAAAAATCCCAGTCAGTCTAGAGCAGGGCTGTGAAACTTTCTACGATGATGGGAATGTTCTGTCTGCTGTCCAACACAGTAGCCACTAGCCACGTGTGGCTAGCAAGCCCTTGAAATGTGGCTAGTGCAACTGAGGAGGTGGGGTTTTAATTTTCCTTTACCTTAAGTAGCCACATGTGGCCAGTGTCTACCATATGAGACAGTACAGTTCTGGAACTTAAGTGGGAGGGTGAATATATAGGATTTAGCGTGTAGAAAGGTTTGCCTGCTTCACTGCGGTTTAAAGATTTGCAGTGTGTAGATATCCTGGCCCAGAAGAGTGGGGGGCAGCCTGGGCTCAGAGAGGAAAAGCAAAGCTGGAAAACTAGGTAGAAGTTTCCAGGGAATCTGAACCTTGTGCAAGAAGCAGAGGAGACACAGACATTTTCCCAAGGGTGTTTCAAAGGGAGGCAGAGTCGGGGAAAGGGTGTCGGGCTGAGGGTCGGGAGGCGGGTCAGGAGGCGATAGCACTAATCCCAGGTGGCGGGGGAAGGCCGATGAGACTTCTTTGCTCTGGACCTCAGTTTCCCCAAGTGCAGGCATGATGTCCCAAAGGCCTCCTCCGTTGGGACACTGTCACAGTCTGAGGATGTGGGTCAAAGGGCAGAGGTGGGCATGTGACCATCAGCTGGGCTCTTTAAAATCCTCGTGGTGGAGAGTTCATCTTTCCTCAGGCAAAGTGACCAAGGGCAGTGGGGCACAGCAGCA